GTGCTAGGCACTGTACATACACATAGTAAGAGTCCCTATTCTGAAAACCTTACACTGTATCTCGACAAGACAGACAGATGGGGAAGTGAGGCACAGAGAGTGCAGCTGAATTTTCTCATGGAAATTCAGTGGCACCTTATTCCCTTACCCACCTTTTTGAAATCCCAGTTTAAGTCACACAGGAAGTCAGTGGCAAACCTGGGAACTGAACCCCAATCTCCTGATTCCCAGGCCAGCCTTCCTCTCACTGAGCAACACCACAAGGAATCTTACAAAGACTGATGCTTCCACCACTTCTATTTGAAGTCTTGTAGAAAGACATACTCGCAGGGTCAAAGGGATGAGCCTAGAACAAAAGGGTGAAAGTTTGCACAGCAAAACATTGGTCAGGCTTCTTTTTAAATGATTTCTTGGACCTGCAACAAAAAGCCACCCATTTCTTATGCGTTAGTCCTCCTACGCCACTTATGTACCATAAAGCTTCTCCATTACTGTAATATTTTGTGCTTATCAATTCCATTTATTTAGAAATGAAAGGCCTCTTTTGTGGGAAGATTTCAGCTGCAGCAGAATGCAGTTATGCAACTGAGTGTCTACTTTAACTCTTTGCTTTCTTTTTGGCTGGGCTTTAACAATCTGAGGGCCTAGATTTCCCCTTTCCTGCCCTTTGGGTTGTCATTTAGCCCTGTGCAACATGGGGATAAAATACTCCCATTTGGAGGTGGCAGCATTTTACATGCACTTTGCACAGGGATGAATGGCTGCACAAGGACAGGCCCTGGGTCTCCATTTGAAAGGTAGCCTTAGCACAGCAGGAGGGTGGAGTGAGTGGAGAGGACACTGGACTGGGGTTCAGGAAACCTGCATTCTCACCTTAGCTCTGCTGTGCGAGCTTGTGCAAATCAATCCACCTCTCTGGGCTTCCGTTTCCCCTCCCACCTCTTGTCCGTCATGGCTATTTCAGCTCCTTAGGGCAGGGACTGTCTGTCACTACATGTCTGTGCAGTGGCTTAGACAACGGGGGCCCTGATCTTGACCAGAGGCCCTGTGTGCTACCGTAATTCAAATGATAAGAGGGATGTAGTGTTGTTAAAAGTGCACAGCCAACAGGAAGTGTTGCCACTCAGACCTGTCACGTCTCATGCCAGTAGGAGGTGGTATCGTGTGTGTGTGTGCCATATATAATATCTTGGTTTTGCTCCCCAACTAGCTTCCTCTCATCTCCCCTGGCTCCCTGGCCCATCCCACCCATTGTGAGCTGGCTCTAGTTAGCTAAAATGCACATGTAGACAGGAACATATTGGGTGGGAGGTTCCCGCTGAAAGTGGACAACTAAGGAAATAGGGTGTCATTTGGATTTTAAACCCATAGCACTCCCTTCAAACTGTGCCTGCTCCCTATGCAATGTTGGAGACCACTCAGAAGTAGGCCAAGGGCTTTCAGAATCAGCATCGCAGATCTGAAACTAAGCATCAGCATGGGAATTGGCATATTTGCATGTAAACAGGTTGTTATAAGCACAAAGGTATCTACCAGCTTGCAGAGTAGTGGCTCATTTAACAAGGCTTACTGACAATCTCTGCTGTCCAGCATGTTCCAGCATACAGATTGGCAGTGGCACCTGAGGCATGAATCTACTGACAATGTACAACTCAGTCTGCTAGCTACAATAGCTAATGATTGACTGATGTCCACAGAGTCCTAGATTTTTCTAGCGCATGCAAAGGGTTCCTTCATACCTGAATGCCTCTGAAAAGTTCCAATGACTGTTAAATGCATCCTAAATACATAAGGACCAGATCATCAGTTGCGTGAATCAGTGTAGCTCCACTAAGTCAGTGATTTACAACAGCTGAGAATTGGTCCAGCGACTATACTTCCTTGACAATCGAAATAAACGAATGAGGGACTACTTGTGTTAATTCATTGCTCCAAGTATAAAGATAAGATAAAGGGGGTGGTTTCAGCAATGGAATTAGAAACTGCTTCTGAGATGTGGGAACAACAAAGTAAAAAGAAATAATAAGGCTATGAGCGGCATATAGAGATTGTCTTCCATTGGCTGATACAACACTGTCTGTTCCTGTCATTTCAAAGGCATTTTGAGATTTTCATTTTAACCAATGCATTTTTAAAATCCCAGTTACAAACACCACTCTTTAACAGATGACACTGAGAATAACACTAAGTAATGAAGTCTGTAATCATTAAAACTGTTATTATACTCAAGATGGCCAGCTATTCATGATAATACAATAACTGAAGACATCACCTGGCTCATTAAGGCTCAGGATAAAAACTTGGGCCCTAATCCTCAACTGCTGTAAGCTAGCATAGCTCAATGGACTTCAACAGAATTATGCTAATTTACACTAGTTCAGGATCTGAGCCTGAGTGAAATGTGAAGCTATTTGTCTGAGTAGTCCTAAGCACGTGTGTTTACACAGCTTTACTCTGGGAACTTGACCTGATTTTCTATCCTGTACAACCAGAAAGAGATGAAAGGGGGGGAAATTTCTCCATTTCTCAGTGTCTTTATTTGGTACATTTGACAGCACTAGGTGGATAGTCACATTCATTGTTTCCTCTGTGTAGCTTGCTGGGCTTAATGGGACTACTCGTTCTTAAAGATAAGCATGTGCATAAGTGCTTGCAGGATTGAGGCCTTTAATTATCATTTTAGCTGCACACTGATGTGATATTCCAAAGGGAGTTATGAGCAGTGTCTCCAAGAATCAAAACAGCATTTGACTCTCATTTGAAAAAGGCCTATATTTTATGAAAATAAAGCCACTCTTAACAAAGAGTTGCTAAATGGGTAACATTTTAATTAACAAATTGAGAACAAAATTGCTAATAAAATTATGTAACGTACAACCGCAGATAAGTATTTCAGTCCAAAATTTACCAACATTTTATTTTAGATGTTCTGTTTCTGATTCTGTGGTCAAACAGTGCCACCAAGTGAGAGAAACACTATATACACACAGGTTTCAGAGTAACAGCCGTGTTAGTCTGTATTCGCAAAAAGAAAAGGAGTACTTGTAGCACCTTAGAGACTAACCAATTTATTTGAGCAGAGCTTTCGTGAGCTACAGCTCACTTCATCAGATGTATACCGTGGAAATATACCAGACTCCAGCGAGAGACTGCTGAATTGGAATTCATTTGCAAATTGGATACAATTAACTTAGGTTTCAGAGGAACAGCCGTGTTAGTCTGTATTCGCAAAAAGAAAAGGAGTACTTGTGGCACCTTAGAGACTAACCAATTTATTTGAGCATGAGCTTTCGTGAGCCACAGCTTGAATAGAGACTGGGAGTTGCTAAGTCATTATGCAAGGTAACCTATTTCCCCTTGTTTTTTCTTCCCCCCACCCCTTTCCTCAGACTTTCTTGTTTCAGGGTCTTGTTAAACCCTGGATTTGTGCTGGAAATGGCCCACCTTGATTATCATACACATTGTAAGGAGAGTGATCACTTTAGATAAGCTATTACCAGCAGGAGAGTGGGGCAGGGGAAGAGAAAACCTTTTGAAGTGATAAACACCCATTTTTTCATGATCTGTGTTTATAAAAATATCCTCACTGCATTTTCCACTTTTATGCATCCGATGAAGTGAGCTGTAGCTCACGAAAGCTTATGCTCAAATAAACTGGTTAGTCTCTAAGGTGCCACAAGTCCTCTTTTTCATAAAGCAATAAGTAGTAGTTGCATTTTTTTAAGGGAAGGAGCTCTTTGGCACTGTTGAAGCAGGTGAGTGTTTTCTTACTTGAAGCTTTTCTGGGGAAGCAGAACTGAAGGCAGAGTCTAGAACTGTTGCGTTCTCAATTGGCTCGGCAACCTAATCTCATCCTAGCAGCAGAATTCCATAGCCCTAGATTTGAATCCCTAAAAATCAGAAACAGAGTTTTCTCTGTGAACATCATCCTGGCTAGGTACTTTGCTCCACAGACCAGCTGTCAAGGCAAGTTTGCTATTCTTCATGGTGCAGTGGCCAAGTATTTATTTCTCGTTGGGATGAGGTTATGGAGGTTTTCTCACGGTTAACATGAAGGGGTGGTGGATGAGGGACTGGCTATTACTGTAAGCAGCACTGGTTGACATTCTATGAGTTCTCTTCTCATTTATACCAGTGATTTCAATAGATTTACTCTTAAAATACACTAGTGTAAAACAGAGGCGAAACCAATCCTTTATAATGTGCCTAAAGGACATGACTGTCTGTGCATAATAATAATAATGATGATTAGGGCCAGATCTCATCCTCTCTTTAGGAAGGAGGGTGTGTGAGTGTTGCTTTGTGGATTCATCCCCATTTCAAGGGGGTGGGGGGGAGAGGGAGTGTGAGTGAGACACACAAGTGGACAGTCCCCGATGGGCTGAAGCTGGGGTGGACACGCACTGTCCCTCTTATTGCCCCATGGAGCCTGCCCAGAAAAGGTAACAGTCTGGGGGTCCTGGTGGAAGGCAGTACCTTCCTACCTTCCCTGGGGAACTTCCTCTGTGGAATGGCCAGAGGGCTAGGGCTTCCCAGACAGCATGGCTGCTATAGCGCCAGGAGAAGAGCTGCAAAGAATGCAAGGTCTGTGCACCACCGGGCCTTAGGGCTTCACACAGCACCCAGGGGAGCCTTCAGCCTGAGAGCAGGCCCTGCAGGAGGCAAATCTCCTTTCCCTGGGGGGAGGGGGGGGGCTCCCTCTTGGAAACCTCGTGGCTCGCCGTGTCTCAGGCCCCCGGCCGTCACACTGGGGCTAAGCCAGGGCTGCTGTTGCCTGGCCAGGTTTGCCCAGGACTACTAGGCCCCCACGGCCACCTCAGCCCGGCTCTCCCGGTCCTGGAGCCCTGCCCTGCCCTGCCCTGCCCTGCCCACGGAGCGCTGGGCGGCTGCAAGCGGTGAAGCGCTCGGAGACCCCAGCGAGGGCGCCGCGGGGTATCCCGGCCACGCGACCCCAGCCTCGCCCCCAACACCTCGTCCCGCCTCCCCTGCCTACACCTCCCCGCCCCGGAACCTCCATGGTCGCGGGCCCTGTTTCCAGATGGACTCAGGGGACCAAGGTTTCCGGTCCCTGCTTTCCGCTTCCCTCGGCTGCTTTCCCAGAAGGCTTTGCAGCTGCCCCTTCTCTTCCGGCTCGGCCGGCGCGGTGGTGGAGCGCAGGTGAGTGTCGCTCCGCAATCCGGCCCCATCGTGCCCGCTGGAGGCGGTGGTGGGGTCTGTGCAGGGCGAGCTGTGATGGGGGTGGCCCCCGCTCTCCGCCTGGGGCGCGGCGGACGCTCCTGTGCGGGGCGACCCTTGGCTGGGAACGGGGGGGGGATCTCTGGGATCGGGCTTTGAGGGCTAGTCGGATCCGAGGGTAGGAGCTCGTTGTAGGGGGGAACCCCTGGGAGCGGGGCTGGGGCTGCTGGGGAACCCCTGGGAGCGGGGCTGGGGCTGCTGGGATGGGGAATGTTAGGATGAAGCTTGGGGCGAGTCTGGCTCCCACTGGGCTTGGGGCGCACATGTGAGATTTGTGGAACCAGAGGCAGGAGGAATTGGAACAGGATATTTCCCATTGGGTGGGTTGCGCGTGTGGCTGCAGGGGGAAGGTTAGGGATAATCTCTTGGGCTGGGTTATATAGGCTGGGGTTGCTTTTTCTGCAGTCCCCTCTTGGAAGCATCAGAGAGCATGTGGGTGCAGAGGAGTCTGGTGTCTCTGTTCCTGCCTGTTCTGAGCTGAACGTTTCTTTCCCCCTCACAGGTTTAATCATGGCCAAGTCCAAGAATCACACGACTCACAACCAATGTAAGTTTAGGTCTGGTTCTGACCCAAAAGTATTGAGAGTTTAAAAACGTTGCTTGGTTTAGTACGGTCAGGTACAGTTTAAGGTATATTTTCAACACTGCCTCTTTAGTGCTTGTGGAAGAGAGATAGTGGAGATTGCCGCTGGGGGGTGACACATCTGCCAATAACACTAATACTTAGCATGGGCTTGGGATAGGTAAATATTTTGCCATCCTCTGGTTGTCAGAATAATTCCAGGTGTGTTCTGCTAGACTGCTAGTTTGGAGAAAGATTGGGTTAGGGTCTTCATTTTATTTTTCCTTCAGAAGAAAACCAACCAATCTGGTGAGTTATTTTACACTTTTATGTCACTCAACAAGAAAGCATTCCTGCTCTTTTTGTGGCCTAACGGTGCCTCAAGTTGAAGGAAGTGACTGTAAACAAGCAAAAATAAAATGTAAATGGTCAAGTTGGTATATAGCAGCACAGAAAGGATTTGTGCTCACCTCAAAAAGCAAGGAAAACTGGTTTCTGTGGATTCTTGAAAATCAGTTGTGCAGTTGAATAAAATATTTTCTATACCTTTTTTCTCATCAAAACTTAGCTACAATAATAACATAACTGTTCCAGCAACTATTAAACTTCATGTGATGCAAAGGGAAGGAATTACAGAAAGCAGGAACTTTTTTGTTTGTTTTAAATTACTGATTGTATTTAAAAAGTTTAGATGTGTTGTACTGAATTCTGTATTGAGTGGGGGGTTTTTATCTGATAAATGGTGGGCAAAAATAGCATACTAGCCGGAATATTAGATAATATCTGCAGTTCTGTTTTTAATCTGTCAATGTTTCTATCTGTCAACAGCTCGCAAATGGCACAGAAATGGTATCAAGAAACCCAGGTCCCAGAGATATGAATCTCTGAAGGGGGTGACTATTTCTCTTTTTATAATTTTGCTGTCAGGTTCTGCAGTCTTACACATGAGCTGTAGACATCCAGCATCAGTACTTGCACACTTACTTTCCAGTCCTCTGGTTGAAAATGGTTGTCTCATTTCCTAATATGCGTGGGTTTAAACTTTACTACAGTAAATGTTATTTTTCTCTTTTCCCTGTTTTGCACTTGCCTTTCCTGCAGTCATATACTGTGTTGCAGATTTGTGTAACTAGCTATCCACAAACTGTGTTTAGTCTCACAGGCCTTGTCTAGACTCCACTTTAACTCTACTGGCTTAACACCTGTTAAAGCTGGGGGGTTATGACCCCTCAGGTGATCGTGAGCTGTCAGCCTCCACCCTCAAACCCTGCTTTACCTCCAGTATTTATAATAGTGTTTAAATATAAAAAAATGTTTTTGTTTTTTATTTATAAGGCGGGGTCACATTCAGAGGCTTGCTGTGTGAAAGGGGTCACCAGTACAAAAGTTTGAGAACCATTTTGTTAAAAGCATGGTACCTTACCTCTAACTAGGCTGCTAACATACATTAGCTCACACCTTTCAAATCCTAGTCTGGGCAAGGGTTATCTTTATTATTTCCCATGTTTCTCTTCCTCAGTGAATATACGTGGGTTGGGTAATTATTTTCCATTTTGAATCCATTTGTTTTCTGCCTAAGTTTCTAACTTCACTGGTTCCCTTTGTATTATTTCTCTGTCCTTACTGGTGTTGAGAAACTCCCCTCTCTATAGGACAGAAGTGGCTTTAAATTCCTCTAACTGTGAAATGAGACAGCTGCTATAACAGCGCCTCCCTTTTTTGGAAAATAAAGTTTACTTGCACTCAAAAGTGAATAAGACATTCCCTTTGTTTAGGGGTTTATCTGTATTCCTTTGAAACCTTGGTATATGCAGTCATTCTTCAAAGCTTCCATAATGTTTTTTGGTTATGCCACAATTAGGGCCATTTTATAGTGTTTGACTGTGTTAGCTTGTGTTCACATTGGTGTGTGTCCACACATGCTACTGCAGTGGTACTGTGGCATAGATTGCTCCAAGAAGCACATAGTTATTTCACCCTTATGCTTTATGAGTGAATGGGGGAAAAGATATCTTCTTACCCCATGTTAGCTAACACATGGTAAGAACAGACCATTTAACCTAGTGAAGACAAGGCACTGTTGGTATTGACCTGGAAATACTAAGAACTACCCCCAAAAAAATCAACAGGATTTGTTGGCGGTGATATTGGATCCAGAATAAATCATTACATGAAATTTTGATCTCATTGCATGGAAATTAAATTTGCCATATTAGCGTTATCTAATTTCTGCTCCAAAGTGCTCTTTGTTACTGTTTCTAAAACTGAGGGGAAACACTAGCTTAGTTCTAAGAACTACACCTGTTGTGTAGAACTCTTATTTCTGAAGTAGTTTCAGATTTAAATGCCACCAATATTTGGGGACTTTTTTTTTTTTTTTTTTATGTGTAATGTATCTGTCCCAAGTGGGGAAACACTGATGCGCTTCCTCGCTTGAATGTACATTTCAAATGACCTACGATTCCCTCCCCCAATTTGGTTTATTTTTACTTTGTTTTATAGGTTGATCCCAAGTTTCTGAGGAACATGCGATTTGCGAAGAAGCACAACAAGAAGGGACTGAAAAAAATGCGGGCCAACAATGCCAAGTAACCAGCGTGCCTCTCTGCAATGAAAGGACTGGCTTGTTTTGAACCTGAAAAGCAGTTTTTTCTATTGGCATTTTTTTCACTCAAAGCATTTTTATACAAATAAAATGAGAAGTAACAAAATTCAAGAGCAAACATCCTGGCCTTTTGAGTTTGAAGGCGAGCCTTCGAAATGTTGAGTTCTCAAAAATTCAATATTCAAATTGTTTAAATTCCATATTAAATATCATTTGAGGTGTCTTAGAGGCTATTTATAGTCACCTGTGTGTGTATCTTTGTTCAGATTAATTGGAGTTTTCACAGTTGCCAGCTGATGTCTGTTGTCCTCAAAGGAAACTGAAATGACTGTTCCCCCATAGTGCTTTTTTAGTCTAACACATTATTGGTGTGACTCTGGTTTTGGATTTTACGTACATGTTTCACACTAGCCTATTTTTCCAAGTTACAAAATGTGTGTGTTACTTGAACTCTAAAAGTAAAGCTGGCAATGGAGCACCTTGTGTAAGTTTCTTCAAATGTAAAGTGTTTGTGTTGAATACCTTCCGAAGGAGTAGTCCTGTTCAAACAGTATTTCTTGGTACCAAAAGATATCCACTAAACTCTACATTTATATAGAAATAAACCTGAGGAACCTGTCATTGCCTAAGAGGTAAAATTTACTGTCAAATTACTTTGACAAATTACAGTAAAATGTCTTTTCTGTGTATGAACCAAAATACATGCTCTAAAGGACTAGCTTCCTTTTCCAGAAATTGCAATTTAAAAAATAGTTTTGATGCACCAAAATTCTTGCTCTAGCGGTGGTAGGTTCTACTACCGACAAGGTAGTGTAGTTATCCGGGGACATCCTAACTTTGCATAACCAAATTCTATTTAGGTATTTCTGCTGCACCCATCACTGAGGTCAATGACAATTTATCTAAAGCCAAGGGATTATATATAAAATGGGATAGCTGACAGTTTTAAATACACTGGGGAGGGCCACAGTAGCTGTAGTTTTCTGTCTAATGCCTTAAAGATAAAGCATCACCTATGAGGGGTGTGCATCCCCACATTAACAATGAGTCACTGCCTTATATGACTCTGGGCTACCTTTACATATCATCTGTCATTAAAATGGCCCCTTTTTACACATCACTGGCACGAGGTGTATCTTGGCTGTAGAGTTATGATGCTGGTAAAGCCAGCCTAGCACAAACATTTTAAACAATTCACTTCAAAGTATGCTGTTGGCCTGATTCTCATTTGGCCTGGTCAACACAAGGTTTTTGCAGCTGTCAGGAGTGTGATTTATTTTACTGAAACAGTTCTAGTGTATGGGAAAGGCCTATACTTGGGTCAAGTCTACATTACAAAACTAAGTCAACCTAAGTACAGCCACCACAGTAATTAAATCACTTTTGCATGTCTACACTACACTCCTTGTGGCGGCAGTGTGCATCCTCATCAGAATGCACAGATTTCACGGTCAGTGGTGGGCATTGTGGGATGGTTTCTGAAAGGCAGTAATAGTTGATGTACGCAAGGCAGGGTCTACACTGTCACTGCATCAACCTATGCGCTACTCCTCTTGCAGAGGTTAAGTCAGCATAATGGGCAGGTTACATCAGTGGGAGTTACATTTTAGTGTAGATACACAGGACAGGTCAACGTAAGCTGTAGTGCAGACCAGGCCTTGGATGACTGTATCCGCACTAAGGGGGTGCCACTATACCGGTGTAATTAAAACAGGGCAGCTTTTGTGTGTAGGCAAGTCCTAAGACCTCTTCACAGCACTCTGGTAGTGTTTGAAGCCATAAAGTGGGTGTTAGCTGTTTGGCTGTATGTGTGCGTGTGTTCTCCCTGTGTGCTGCCCCAGCTCTGTGCAGAGAGCAGGCCCAGCAGACCTCAAGCAAACTGCCCAATGACCACAAGATCCATTAAGGTACGAAGGCACCAGGCCAGGTTTATTGTCGACAAAGCACGGTAATAGCACCTGGCAGATTCTACAAGGATACCATGGCATGTATGCCTGTGACAATGGATGCAACTCAGTGAATGGCAGGACCTTCCATTCCCCCCACACCCCCCTCGGCTGGACAAAGAGACTCCCTCTGAGATACATCTTTATACCCTGAAACAAATTAGTACTGCCTCTGACATAGTTACTTCCCCCTGATATGGCTAGTTATCACCCATCACCTTGTATATGTTGGTTGAATCAAAATATCTCTATTACGTAAAGTCATCCTGACCTTATCTTTTAGTAGGGCTCGGTGTGTTCCTGTTATCCTTGGGGAATGTTTTTTGTACCATCCTTGATTTTGGGATGTTCTGGTACCACTTGATATCGGGATGTGTTTGTGTGAGTAATCTGTGCTTAGCATTTCTTAGGAATGTGTATTTCTGCATTGTCAGTCCTGTTCTTGCCAGATTTTGTGAGCAAGTCCTTCCTCATACCAGGCCTCTGATACAAGGGCTTATATTTCAGGCTCTCTTCCTACTACATCAGTTACCTCATTTCATGGCCCCTTTACACTACTAGAAAAGTGTAAAGATGGCTTAAGTGAAGAAGAGTGTCTCTGATCTCCAGCTGCCCATTTGGAAATGGTTTGCCTCTGGTTTTCATCAACTATCTCAGACCTGTTCTAAGCACTCTTGGTGTTGCTAGTCAGAAGAAAGCTTCTGTATTGCCTAGAAAGGGGACACAAAGCCAGTTGCATTTCCATTTCCTTGCTGGGAAGGAGATTGAGTAATAAAAATAGAGGCAGAACTATGCTATAGATCCAGCTGACTATTTTATTACACTGGGAAGAAATTGTGTGTATTGTCATTTATAATAGGATTCAATAAGGTACTTGAAAAATAATGGATAACTGTTGGGAGTTCAGGTGTGGCAACTGTCACCCCTGTAATTATGGATGTTATCAATGGCTCCCTTGCTGAAAACATGTGATCCATGTTTGTAGGGTCATGTAAAATTGCCAAACTTTAAGCAATTCCTGATGGCTTTACAGACTTCCTGTGTTAAAATTAGTTGTTACTGTCTCTTTAATGAACTTGGTGGTGACTTGACAGTCCTGGAGATTGAGAGTCTCTACTGCTCCTCAGAGCAGGGTACAGCACAGTGCCCCTTCATGCTGTCTCCTGCCAGTGTGCAACCTGGAAGAACAAGTTGTGACAGAGTGAGGGCTGACACCAACCCTGTGTCAGCTCTTTAGATCACGTATTGTTTTTGTCTTTGAATATGACCATGGAGCAATTATTTGGTGGTGGGGTTGCTGTAGTGACACTTCACCACCAGATGGTGCAAAAGCGATGCTTGTCAGGTGAAAAATGGTCTGATGTTTATTCAAGGCATACACCTGCTCCCTTTTTTCCTTCTGCTTCTCCCTTGTAACTAGAGAGTCCCCAGGAGATCTGCCTGTAAAAACTTCTAGATACCTAGAGGATGAGTGTCGTCTCCCTTGGACCCAAGGAAGGGTGCTCTGTAATGAGGGGCATGTACCCCACACCCAGTCATGCAACAAACGGGTTAAAAGCTGCTATAGGAAGAAGCTGCCTGGGCTGTCAGTCAGTGCCAGCTGTGGCTGGTTAGGAAGCAGGCTTGAGTGAAAGGAAGAGAGAAGCTGTGGGTGTTTGTTTTTTCCTCCTCTGCAACAGAGAGCTGGGCTGGATTGTTGTTTTGGGAGCCAGGAGGGAGCGTAAGTCACAGAGGTCAGAGATGGTGAAGGCTTCCTCTCAGACCACCCCCCTGCCAGTGAAAGTGTGTTTGTGTTTTCTGGCCTAGTTTCTAATATTGCTGGTGACGGCCTTCCCTGGGGAAACTATTCCACAGTCTAACACAGGGATCGGCAACTTTTGGCACGCGGCCCATCAGGGAAAGCCACTGGTGGGCCACAAGCGGCGTGGGCTGAGGGATGTGCTGGCCGCCCTTCCTGCAGCCCCCATTGGCCTGGAGCGGTGACCAGCGGTCAGTGGGAGCTGCGATCAGCTGAACCTGCGGACACTGCAGGTAAACAAACCGCCCGGCCTGTCAGTGGATGTCCTTGATGGGCCGCGTGCCAAAGATTGCTGATCCCTGGTTTAACACATCCCCTGTGGGGAAGATTTTTCTCCTGTTTAGCCTCAATTTTCCTTCTTTTATTTCTGCCCCCTTAATCCTAGTCCGAGTCCCAGCTCTCTGTGCTGCACAGACTGTTCCTCTCAGGCTCTAGACCCATCAGTTATTTATAAGCTTTATTATCTCCCTCCCTCCCCCAACAGTTGACAAGCTCACCATAGTTAGCTCTTTGAACATCTCCTCTAAATCAGCCCCTGCAGCCTTGGTGTCAGGGAGAGATGAATGAATGGAGGCAGGGGAGAGAGAGGGGGCAGGGCATAGAGAGAAGGAAGGCGGGTGAGAAAAGGGGAAAGCACAGTACGTACCAGAGGTGAGAAGAGCAAGAAATAACATAAGAGTCAGAACAGGGGAGACTTAGGAGAAAGGGAGCTGAGGTGCAGATACAAGGTAGAAAATGGCCAGTGATACACAGTGAAGGGGGGGGGGGATGTAACATGACCCAGTTTTTATTTTGAAAGAAGGGGGGGAATGAGGAGTTAGTAGCTGTCCCTCCCTATCCCCCTTCCCTTGGCTGCCATAATCTTGCCGAGTGCTTGTCTCTGCCTGCCCCCAAGCCCCCCAGCAGGCACCCTGCTTTTCCCACTTTGAACATTAAGTTCCCCTGCCAGAGGGTGTCTGAGTGAGAGGAGCTTCTGAGCCCAGAGGCCAGACTGAGCCCTGTTTCAGAGTTGCTACAGCTTGTTCAGGAGCTGGAGATGGCCTGTGTTAAATACATTCTGAAGCAAGGGATGCCAGTCCCTACTCTACAGGTAGGTGTTCCCGGGAAGCAAGGTTCCTGCATGGGCTCAGCTGGCGGGAGAGAGCCCTGTTAGTTTTAACCCTTCCTGCAGAGTCTATTTTTAGTGAAATCCCCTGGAGACAATCTAGTCCCCTGGGCCCAGACCTTCAGTCGTATTTAGGTGCCTTGCTCCCATTGATTTCAGTGGGAAATAGGTATCTAAATACCTTTGAGGCTCGAGGCCTTGATGACTTTTAAGAACAGGGCTGGTCCCTTCATGAACAACTTCTCGGTCTCTGTAGGGGGTCAAAGGCAGGACCAGCTCTAGGCACCAGCAAATCAAGCACGTGCTTGGGGCGGCACGTTTCCAGGGGCGGCGTTCCGGCCATCCTTCCCCCCCAGCCCCGCTCAGTCAACCAATGAGCCCCTGCGTGGGGCGGGGTGGCGAGCTCAGCGTGGGGGTCCCAGCCCGGAGGTAGTCCCTGCCTAGGCCCTGTCCGCCCGGGGCAGTGGGTCCCTTACTGGCCATGGATCCCCGGTGGCGGACAGGGGCGATGTGGCTCCTTCCCCCCGCCCACCCCTGCCGCACGTTGGAGGAGCTGGAGCAGAGAGGAGCCTGGGATCGGGGCAGGATCCATGGCCAGTAAGGGACCCACTGCCCCGGGCGGCTCGG